GGTCGGCTGGCTGGCCGGCGGGCTGGCTGGCTGGTTGGCTAGCTGGGCCCTGGTTGACTTCTGGTTGACTTTTGGCTGGCAGGCTGGCTGTCCGTCTGGCCGGCTGGCGGCGGCGGCGACGACGGCGACGACGACGGCGACGACGGCGACGACGACGCCGACGACGACGACGACGACGACGACGACGACGACGGCGACGACGACGAGGACGACGACGACGACGACGACGACGACGACGGCGACGGCGGCGGCGGGTTGGCTGGCTGGCTGGCTGGCTGGCCTGCGGGCTGGCTGGCTGGCTGGCTGGCTGGCTGGCTGGCTGGCTGGCTGGCTGGCTGGCTGGTCGGCTGGCTGGCCGGCGGGCTGGCTGGCTGGTTGGCTAGCTGGGCCCTGGTTGACTTCTGGTTGACTTTTGGCTGGCAGGCTGGCTGTCCGTCTGGCCGGCTGGCGGCGGCGGCGACGACGGCGACGACGACGGCCACGACGGCGACGACGACGCCGACGACGACGACGACGACGACGACGACGACGACGACGACGACGACGACGACGACGACGGCGACGGCGGCGGGTGGTTGGCTGGCTGGCTGGCTGGCTGGCTGGCTGGCTGGCTGGCTGGCTGGCTGGCTGGCTGGCTGGCTGGCTGGCTGGCTGGTCGGCTGGGTGGCCGGCGGGCTGGCTGGCTGGTTGGCTAGCTGGGCACTGGTTGACTTCTGGTTGACTTTTGGCTGGCAGGCTGGCTGTCCGTCTGGCCGGCTGGCGGCGGCGGCGACGACGGCGACGACGACGGCGACGACGGCGACGACGACGCCGACGACGACGAGGACGACGACGACGACGACGACGACGACGACGACGGCGACGGCGGCGGCGGGTTGGCTGGCTGGCTGGCTGGCTGGCTGGCTGGCTGGCTGGCTGGCTGGCTGGCTGGCTGGCTGGCTGGCTGGCTGGTCGGCTGGCTGGCCGGCGGGCTGGCTGGCTGGTTGGCTAGCTGGGCCCTGGTTGACTTCTGGTTGACTTTTGGCTGGCAGGCTGGCTGTCCGACTGGCCGGCTGGCGGCGGCGGCGACGACGGCGACGACGACGGCGACGACGGCGACGACGACGCCGACGACGACGACGACGACGACGACGACGACGACGGCGACGACGACGAGGACGACGACGACGACGACGGCGACGGCGGCGGCGGGTTGGCTGGCTGGCTGGCTGGCTGGCTGGCTGGCTGGCTGGCTGGCTGGCTGGCTGGCTGGCTGGCTGGCTGGCTGGCTGGTCGGCTGGCTGGCAGGCGGGCTGGCTGGCTGGGTGGCTGGCTGGCTGGGAGGCTGGCAGGCAGGCTGGCTGGCCGTTTGGTCGGCTGGCTGGGTGGTTGGCTGGTTGGCTGGTTGGCTGGCTGGCTGGTTGGCTGGTTGGCTGGTTGGCAGCCAACCAGCCGCCAACCAGCCGCCAACCAGCCGAATGGCCGTGGTTGAGTCGTGGTTGGTTCTGGTTGGAAATGCGGCCAAAACCCGTGTAAGTGGTGCTCAAAATACACATGTTTTGCCCGCATTCTGGTTGGGTCTCGGTTGGGTTTTGGTTGGGTTTGGGATGAAGTTGCTTTTACACGTTGTAAAGCCTCCCCCCCAAGACGGCCCCAGTTTGCAAACATCATCCCAATCCCGAAGCAGAAAGCATTCTTTTGCGTACTCGCCGTGTTGGTTTTGACAGCGCCCAGGACGGCCCAAGAGGCCCCCAAGATCGCCTCAAGGCGGCCTAAGTGGGCCCACGAGAGTCCCAAAACGGTTTCAGAGGACCCGGAGACGGCCGAAGGTGCGCCCAAGACAGCCCAGGGCCCAAGAGGGGGGAACACGAACTGACATTTTGAGCTTTCCGCCTCAAAAAGAGCCTTGAGGCCGTCAGCGGAACTTCCAGGCCCAGTATATGTCTTCCTTCCCCTCCTCCTCCTCCTCCTCCTCCTCCTATAGTGATCGTTTTTCTATTCAATGTTTTTTCGATCCGCGCGGGCCCTCGCACCCCCCCCCTCGTGGAGTAGATCTTGGCTGTTTTTGGCGCCCGTTTCGAGCAGGTGGGGTCACTCCCCCAGAGGCCGCCCTCCCCCCCAGAGGTCCGGAGCCTGACCCCCCCCCCTCTCCCTCCCCCCCCTTCCGCCCCATGTCGAAACGCCGAATAGGAAAACGGCCACGTCTGTCTTCCTTCCCCTCTCCCCCCCGCCTCCCAGGGCCGTGGAGGGGGGGCGGGATCGGCGGTGAGGGGGGCGGGGTACCTCGGCAGGAGCGCGCGAAGCTGAAGCAGGAGATCTCGGAGAAGGTGAGGCAGGCCGAGCTCGCCGCCGACGACGGCAGGTTCGAGGAGTCCAGGGCCATCATGAAGGACGATTGGGCTAAGATCGGGCACCTGCTCCATGCCCTGTCCTTCAGAGTCCACCCCCTTTCGCCTCATGGCCGTCCTCCCTTCCCTCCTCCCCCCCTCCCCCCTTCCCTCGCCGGACGTCAGGGGCAGCGACAGGGGGGGGATCTAGGCTTCAGGGGGGAGATCATCGACCCCTCCTCGACCTCTTCTCCCCTCCTCCCTCTCCTCTTCTTCTTCCTCCTCCTCCTTCTCCTCCTCCTCCTCCTCCACACATACGTGTGATTTCACAGGCCACGTTCAGGCTATCTTTCCAGATTGTGCCGCTCGGTCTCGCACATTGCAAATGTGCCGATCACAGTCGCAGTTCAGGATTCCAGAAGAGACTCTGCACTGGCTCGCGGCGATGGCGAGTATTATGCTGCAACCCCTAGGGCGACGGTGTAGAGTCGGAGGTTGATAGACCTCCCACCCTGACACCGCGATTAGCGAATTGACCGTTTTCGGTTCGCGAGGGGGCGTCGCGGCCGTCACTTTTGTGGGTCCGGGTCCGTCGGTTTCGGTTTTAGGCTGTTTTCACTCGAGGGAGGTTTGTCCACCGCCGATAGAGGCCTCATTCCGCCAATGAAATCCAGACCTAGACCCGACCGCCCAAATACACCTCGCGGACAGGGGCTACCGAGGGACTTTACATGGGTGTAGACCGCCGACAAACACCATCACGTGAGCGACGCTCGAGCAAAAGACGCCGACCTTGCGCATGCAAGGCCCCCGGTCCGGTTACGAGCGCACCCTGCGGACGCCGAGACAGCACATCCCGTTCGCGCATACACTGGCACCAATCGTTGCCTCTGTTTGTGATCGTTCTCTTTATTGCGAAGGCCTTACGGCCGGTGCCGCCGACCCTGAATGGCGACGACGACGACGACGACGACGACGAGCGCTCTTGGGGGCCTCTTGGCCTCTTGGGGGTAGTTTGTGGGCCTCTTGGGAAGCTCTTAGTGGCCGCTTGGAAGCCTCGTGGGGGCCTCTTGGGGCTTCCTGGGGGTCTCTTGGAGGGGGCCTGGGTCGTCTTGGAGGCTTCTTGGACGGTCTTGGGGCTATCTTGGGCGTTTTCGGCTGATCTTTGGGCGACTCGGGGCCCACCAATCATTGCCTCTGCTTGTGATCGTTCTTTTTATTCCTTGTTTTGCCGATCGGCGCGGGCCCTCGCCCCCCCTTCCCCCCCCCAGTTGTGGAGCAGCCGTCGGCTGTCCTTGGCGCCTGCCTCCAGCAGGCGGAGTCTCGCCCACAGGACGCACGGCGCCAAACCGTCGCGCTCGGCAGAGGTCCAGGGCCAGACCCCCCCCCCCTTCCCGCCCAATAGAACGACGCGAAGATCGGGACAAAATCGGATCGGGATAACTCGAAATCTCTGAGAATCGGCGGGTTTGGAGGATGTATTGGGCGCCGCGGCCGCTCCAGAGCGTTCCGGAACGCTCTGAGAGCGCTCCGGAACGCTCTGGAGCAATTTATCCCGATCCTAGCCCTGTTTTAGCTCCCCCTTCCCGCCCGATGTGGAGACGCCGAATAAGGAAAGCTCACCACTCCCTCTACAGTCAACCTGCATGGTAAGGATGGGCAGCCTTCCCAAGGGAACCCTTGCATCCCTGCCTCCTCGGTCCATCCTTGAGCACTTTCGTTGGCCGCGCCCCGCTCGAAGAGCTTCGAAATGGGCTTCCAAGGCCCTTGCATCCTTATCGCGCATCCTTACTATACTGGTTGACTGTACCGTAGGTTCGTGCGGCGTTGGCGCGCCGCCGACGCCAGCGAAGGCGCTCAAGGTTGAATCCTGCGACGCGGACGCACCGAGGGACACGGTAATGTCATTGGGTTCAGCGGGATTCCACTCTGAACGATCGGGGCTGCGATCGATTCAAGGTTCGGGAGCCAAAAAATATACACCACCACCACCTCCCTCCCCCCCTCCCTCTCGCTGGACAGAGGAGAGAGGAGGAATCGACGTGGTGGTGGTGTATATTCTTTGGGCCCCCAAAGGTTGAACGATCGACGCGGTGTCGAAAACCTCTCGCACGCCGACACCTCGCGAGCCTGCCGTACAGCATATGTATTCCCGACGAGCCAGAAGCTCAGTGGCTACGGCCTCGCCCGCCCGGTCTCGGCAAGGCCCGCGCGGGTGTCCGCAGCGGCGATAGCTGTTTGTCTTGCTCCTCTCTCCTCCTGCTCCTCCTGCTGCTGCTGCTGCTCCTCCTCCTCCTCCTCCTCATCATCCTCCTCCTCTCCTCCCATCCCCTCCTCCTCCTCCTCCTCCTTCTCCTCCTCCTCCTCCTCCTCCTCCTCCTCCTCCTCCTCCTCCTCCTCCTCCTCCTCCTCCTCCTCTCTCGCAGCGTCTTCTTTCCTCATTTTCGGTCAGAAGGGCGGGGTAGAGGGCAGAGAAGGTACCCTCTGTCTTTTCTCCCCTTCCCCCTTCTCCCCCTCTGCCCATGTTCCTTCCTCCCCCTCCACTGCTCCTCCCTCTTCCTCCCTTGTTCCCCTCCTCGTCCCTGCCCTTCCTTCATCCCTCCCTCCTCCTCCTCCCTCTTCCCTTTGCCCTCCCCTCGCCTCCCCTCCCGCCCACTCCCCTGCTCGGAGGATGACAGCTCAGTCCCCTCGCAGGGAGGATGACGATGAGGATGAGGATGAGGATGAGGAGGAGGTGGAGGAGCTGGAGGAAGAGGAAGAGGAGGAGGAGGAGGAAGAGGAGGAGGAGGAGGAGGTGGAGGTGGAGCTGGAGGTGAAGGAGGAGGAGGAGGAGGAGGAGGAGGTGGAGGAGGAGGAGGAGGAGGAATGGGTGGAGGGAGGGCAGAAGAGGCGGACCCGTATAACTGCCCGATCCCCATCCTCGCTCACCGCCAGCTGGACGTGGAGCGCACCGGCCATGATTTGCGCTCCCCCCCCCCTTGGACGCTCCCCTCTTGGCCGCCCCCGACAAGAGACGGAGGGTCAATGGGCCCCTGCTGGGCCCTGGGGCCGTCCAACGAAGACGGCTTCGGAGCTCCAGGGACGCAGGTCCATGCAGACGGACGTCTCAGGAGGGAAACAAATCACACAGACACAATGCATCCTCGATCCCCATGAAAATGTAGGAAAATATGGGAAGTGGGGATCCTGGGATTTGTGTGTATTTATTTGTGTGTCCCTGGGCCCCTTCAGAGTCAGCCACCTCCGATGCCTGGTTCCCTCCAGGACGTGGAGCTCACCAAGCGGCGGGCGGAGGACCTCGATGCCCCGAGGGAGAAAACGACCTTCACCGAGACCGTGTGCGAAGTCTGCGGCCTGCGCGTGTCTGCGGAGGAGGCCAGGAGGAGGAGGAGGAGGTGGAGGAGGAGGAGGAGGAGGAGGAGGAGGAGG